ACAACACATAAGCAAGCAGATATTCAATTTTCAAGTTGATTAGCGGGTTTTGGTGTTTGAGCAACATCTTTTTAGATTTATGATGGAGTTGATGCCTACAATTTTCTCACTTAAGCCTTGATTTGCATCATTTTACTCCTCGTTAGCTTCCACACCAGTATTAACAAAGTGGTAGGACTCAAAGTATTACATTATATTTTTCTCTCTTTACAGCCTAGTATATCTTGTTCTGTTTTACACGCCAGTGTATCTTGTTTTTGGGTTCTTGATTATCTTTCTCTAAGCAGTATATTATTTTTTGTAGGTTAAAGTGAAGAACAATGAGACAAATTAAACCAGGGAAAAGAGAACATGTAATTGTTGGGACAATGTGTGGAAGAGTCCAGACGGTCTTTTTTCAATCATTCAAACCAATTATATGAGAAGAGTTATGAACACCTAGAGAAAGGAGATGAGCACTTTCATAAAGGAAATTATTGTAGAAAACCATAAAAAGATGATCAAGAACTAATATATCAGACAAGAATGTGAAAATGAGAGACAAATTGTATGTAGTTCTATCAAACTTGGTAGAATGGTTTCCGGATCTTGATCCTGCCTCACATGAAGTATAAAGTTGAAGAAATGGAGTTGCATGATGCCATTGATATATTTAGTATCCAGTTGGAAGAAAATATATTAATGTACTTTGATGTTTTAGATTTTTTTAATTGTGTAACTTTAGTTTATTACAATACGATAGCTTTTTGAGATTTTAGTTGTGCCAATTATAACATTCATTCTCTTTCGGTTATTATTGTGACTATTATATATTGAAAGTCGTATTTTCGGCGTGTATTTCAATATAGATGATTTAAATGTTTTAATGCAAATGTGATCCAGAATAAAAATATATAACTCTAATAAAGTGTTGCCTAACTTGAAAAATTGTTACATAAAGCACTCATGGAAATGTTACATAATATAAATCAGTGTTGCAAAAGAATATAATAGTTGTGTTACATAAGTACTCCCTCCGTCCCTTATAACTTTGCCAACTTTCCTTTTTTGGATGTCCCATTAACTTTGCCACTTTCCCATTTAAGTAAAGAATTTGTGGTTCCAGTTAATTCTCTCTCCTCTGCACAAACCTCAACCACACAGTTTTTACTTTATTAATCCCCGTGCCGGTCAAACTTGGCAATGTTATTAGGGACGGAGGGAGTATAAGAAAAATGTTGCATAAAAGTAAATTTTAAGTGTTGCATTTTATTACAAAAATGTTGCATCTGATGATTGTTAAAATGTTGCATCTGATGATTGTTAAAGTGTTGCAAATAAGTACTAGAGTGTATCGTGAGCCTGCGCATGACAGATTCCCACCATCAATGGAGGTTGTCTTTCACGACGAACAGGTTGGGAAATTTGATTAGTTTTTTTAACAGGATGTTTCCCTTTCATTATTGCTGACTATTTCGAAAATGATAGGGGTCGAAGATTCACGCGCACATCCCGGATCAATTTGTTGGCCAGTTTTTTAACCTTTTCAGAGAAGGCCGAATCTTTGCAGTCAAGGATTTTTATGGCTGAGGAAAATTTAATGTTTTTTAAAACAACTGCAAGTGCGTACATGCTGCGTTTTTTCAAGAAAACTGCGGCTTTTGAAATCCAAATTCCATTCCCTTTGAGAACGTTTACTTTGGTCTCCTTTGCGGCATTGCAAGCACAAGATCTTATTGACGACAAAACTAGGATTGGTATGGTTACATTATATTTGTGTGTTTGTGAACATTCAGTTTGTTAATCAAGTAATATAAAAATGCAGACATTATAGGACAAGTTGTCCATGACAAGGATCCTAAAATAGTGTTGAAGAATGATCGTCCAAAAAGGCTGGTGGAGCTTATCTTGGGAGATACTGAGTTAGTCGCTCCTTTCATCCACTTTAAATTCCGTTTGTTTTGAGTGTCTGTTTGATTCGTGATTTTGCATTTCCTAGGGAGGAACATCATTGGATGCACTCTTTGGGGTCCAATGGTTGAAATGTTGTCGACCTATAAGTTGACAACAGCCGAGCCAATTGTCATGCTCCTATAGTGTTGTAGAGCTCAAAAATATCAAGGTTCTTCTAAAGACAATTTGGGTTTCCGCTTCAGTATTTTATTATTTGGTGCTGATTTGTTCTGCTTTGCTAGGCCAAGTCAGTGTATCAAACGTGTTCAACACAAGAAAAGTTATTCCAAACGGGCCTGAGGAAGAGTTCAACGACTTCAAATCTAGGTTTGCCGTAGTCATATTTTCTTATCTTCACAGCCGCACCTCAATCTTTTAACCATTGTGGCGGCTCACGTTTTTTCACAGGATGGCTAGAAGATGCGGGGAAGGCTTGAGTTATACTATTTCGTCGGATACGTCTAACGAATGTGATATTAGCAGTGGGCAAATACAGTTGATAACTATTGATCAGCTAAATAAGTTGGAGGAGGTTTGTATAGAATACTTTACTTTCCCTTTTAATTGTTCATGTGCTTATTTTTTCCTTGATTTTTCAGGATGGTACTCATTGGTTCTATGGTGAAATAGTTGGGATTGATAGTCATAAGGAGTGGTCTTACGTCTCTTGCATAAGCTGCAACCGAAAGGTGACTCCGAACGGTGACAACTTTGTTTGTTTATCGTGCAATTCATCGGACGCTGTTTTAAGGTTTGTAAATTGATGTGCACTATATGAAACGAGTGCTGCATATTTTCACTAAACTAACTTCCATGAAATCTCGAAATCTTGGTTCAGATACAGAGTCAACATCAGGGTCGTTGACGGCACCTCCCACGCGTCTTTCCTCCTTTGGGATAAGGAGGTTTCATGTTTGATCGGGAGATTTGCTACATCTTTGAAGGAACACATTTTGAAGGTAACATATATTTATTGTTTTTGGATTAAATATGTTTTAGCTATTATGATTTAGCATCAACACGGAACCTACACTGTTTTTGTAGAGGAATTTTGGGCCGCACCGCACTACTTCCCTTCTAAAATAAATGCCCTCATGGACATTAAAGCGCTGTTTCGGGTTCAATACAAAAAGGAAGGCAGAAACTACAAAGGAAATCAAACATTCAGTGTGTTGAGGATGTACACAGACCCGAGGGTGTTGTCCCTCTATGTTTCTGAATCCAACGCAGAGGTTTGTTTTACAGGTTGCGATATTGTGTTTCGCCATATTTGGAATATAACATTTTACAACTGTTGTTGTATGTTATAGGATGGAGATGAGTTTAACCTGTTTAGGAGAGAGTGTTGTGGTAGCGATCAGGTGGAGGCCTTTACATAATTTGTTTTATTACTATATTTTTTACGTTTAATTCTTGCGTTCCTTAGATATATGGATTAACATATTCGTTCCTCAGGTTGGGTCTTCCCAGCCAGTTATTTCAATGAGCCCGTTGTTGACCAAGGATAAGAGAATTGTGTTAGAAGTTGATGGGGAGAAGGTGAAGAGGGATCTGCTTGCAGAATTTTCTGCAATTACGCCAACGAAGAAGGTGAAAGGCATCAAGATTGAGGAACCAAAGCCGTGAAGATATTCCTCCTGTTTTTGTTTATGTGTTTTATGTGCGTACACCTAATCGTACCTACGTTGAAGGGTTGCATGGATAGCTTTTAGTTAGAAGACTTAGCTAGCTATACATATTAATACCTAAAGGCTGTGTATTCTACACTTTGATTTTTTGCATTTTGTTCTTGGTTTTGGCACACTTCAACCTAAAGTGTGCTCTGAATGTAACCCAGTTTGCTAATGTATATGTAAATTATAATAAATGAATGGATATTTTGTGAGGAATGACATTATGGGTTCTACATTGAACTAGAATATAAGAGGAAAGACATATTGTTCAACCACTGAAGTGGTCACTACAAATTTACACTTTTGTAGAGTCTCGTGGCTTTTCAGTCGAGGTCTGGGGGATGGTTGTAACCCATTATAGAGCATACCATGGAACATGGTTCTAATGGTTATCTTAAACTAAGAAACCTAATGGGCATGGTTCTACGAATTTTGACAGATTGTCATGGCTACTATTTAGGAGTGAGGTAGTTCCTATTAATGGGTTTGTGTTTCACACAGACAGAGCATACCATGGAACATGGTTCTAATGGTTATCTTAAACCAAGAAACCTAATGGGCATGGTTCTACAAACTTTGACAGATTGTCATGCCTACTTTTTAGGAGTGAGGTAGTTCCTATTACTGGGTTTGTGTTTCACACAGACATTGTAATTTTGGGCAATATTAAAGAATCGTATAAGAGTCGTACATATGAAACGGTAAGGTAGAAAAAATTAAGGAGATGAGAACACATACATGGCGTATCCGCTTTGGCCGATTTCCTATTTTTCCATACCCTAAAACCTAACAACTAAATATTACATACCCAACTTGCAAATCTATAACAAGAAAAGTACATTTTAAAATACGTATGCGCTGGCACCCTAGGTGCAGCCACAAACCTGCACCTGCACCTACTATACTGGGGATATCATGTGCAGCCACAAACCTGCATTTTGAAAAATAGTTTGGTCAGACGTAAAACTTCATCAGGGGAACTTTATAATGTGTTACATGTCAAACCTTATTCACATTTAGATTGTACACAGCAAGTTCAATAGATGCATGTGTATGCTATCAATTACTCCACTAGCATAATCGTTAATTAATTGAAAAGTTTTAACTGTGTTGCGTATTTATAAATAACCAGTTACTTATTTTTGTTAGGAAGTAAATTCCCAGTTAGTATTGATTAAAATATAAATTCTAACTAATTTGGGGTGCATAGTGTAGTGGGATCTAAAGCTTGAGGTGTAACATACTTCTAATTCACTACAAGAAAAATGCCTTACAGTGACACTCTTTTAGTGACACTTTCAGATAAAATTCTACTAGTAACACAACAGTGTCACCATTTTCTATAACATGTACATCAGTGACACATAATCTTTCTATTAAATCATTCTTTTGGGCTGGGCTTGTAAATCATTTTAGAACACTTCAACTTTCCTCTCCCGTTAACTACATTTCCGCCCGCCCCTTGCGAACCCTAACTCTTCTTCACGATTAGCCTTCCGCTCTCCCTGGAGCTACTGATTCTAGCCGTCGAAGAAGCTTCGGTCGCAGTTCCATCCTCTCCCCCCATAGCTGTGATTCCCATTGATGAATCTCCGGTAGTAGGTTCCATTTGCAGCGGCGACTTCATTATTTTTCTTCTCTCTCCCTGGAGCTGCGATTCTCGTCGAAGTTCAATCGCCCGGCCTACACAGGTATCTCTACTCGAACCAACCTGTTCTGTCCACTCGCACAAGCCTCTTCTCTCCATTATAATATAGGTATCTCACAAGTCTCTTTCTTGGATCCATATTCTGTATTCGACTTTTGAAATCTTTTGCAGCACCAGTTCGGTAACTTGCAGCACCAGTTCGGTTCCTTGAAGCTTTGGTTACGCACAGTCACAGTGCTTTTCATAATTTTAAAAATTTTAGGTATGTAACTGCTTGAGATTTTCTTCAATACCAAATTCCACTACTGAGTGAACTGGTAGTTACATATGATATTCTCTTCATGTCTCTGTTTGTATGTAGTTATATCATTAATGTACTCCTTGAATCCACCTTTAATTTTTTGTATTAGTGTGCTTATTACATCTTTACCCTGGTATGCAGATCATGTGTTTGTCAAAATTATTGGGTTTTAGCTTTGTTGTATATTTGATAGATTTAATATTCTAAACGGTTTATCTGAGTTTGCTTTTATGTCTAGCTACTATGCTCTTATGCATATCACGTGTTTGTCAAAATTCTTGAATAGTTTACATTAATGTTTTTTCGCATTTACTTTGGGAGCAGAGAAACTGGAAGTTATTAAGCTTGCTATACAATTCCCTTTTTTATCTCTACAATCTTATAAGAGGGAATCTTGTTGAGGGTTAAATTGTCCTGAAAAATATGTTGGTGTCTCTAGATGCATAAGCTAATTGTACTTTCTATTCACTGTGTTGTACAACTTAACCTGTTCGCACTTTCATCATTATGTCCTTACGGAACGGAGGCAAACACCCAGCTTTAAAAAAAATCGCACGATGGCTTTTGTTTCCGCCCTGTAGTTTATTTCGTTCAAATCCCCAGCCCCTTCGACTCATCACCTTCCTTCCGTTTCAACCGCTCAGCAATAATGGCTCTTCAGCAGTAATGGCTTTTGGGAAATTTGGTTTTTCAAGCGTCCTCCGTTGGTTGCTTATAAATACTGTTGCGCAGCTCTTCGGTCTATTTTCCGGTTTTGCCTTGTTCTACTCTGGTGAGTTTTTCCTCTATTCTTTTGATTTGCCTTGTGTAATTGCTTTACCTACGCATTTTTGTGATTAGCCATATGTTCTCCGCATGACCGCATCTATGTTTCATTAGTTAACTACCCATGGAGATTTTTTGGGAGTCGGTGTTCTTGTTAATAGCCAACGATTCGTAGCCCTTAGAAAAACTAAGGGCATATATCTGATAATTTGCATTCGAGTAAAATGGAATTCTAAATCATTGTTCGCTGCTTCTGGAATCCAACTCCAAATTTAGCCTGAGGGTACTTCACGAATGCAAGTCACAGAGTCTAACATACCTTTTTGTTAGGTAAAGACGAATAGGCAGTATATTTAAAAACACTTGCATCCCGGTCACATTACATGAATCACGAGTAGCTTTTTAAACCCAAATTTGCATTTTTAAACCCAAAGTTGCATTTAAAAACACTTACTCCCAGACACATTACCCACAATATCACTTTTAAACTCATAGTTGCATTTTTTTGTTGCATAAGTAGCTATAAATATACAATGCTACATTATATGTTGTACCAAAAGGTTTGCTTCTTCATTAGCAACTCAATGTATTTCTGTCACTGATGTTAAAAACAGTTCATCATAGGGACAGAGGCTTCACATCGTGGTTCTGAAAATATTTTTATCCCAGTCCAACACTTCCCTATCACCATACGCTTCCCTCTGTTTGTATCATTTTTCAGTTTTTCCCTTTTGGAGAGTAATTTAACCTTGTATGTGCTGTTTAAAACCTTGTTTAGGCTGGAGAGATTGTTGGCAGTTTGAGCTGAGCGAGTTTCATATGGGGGTAAGCTGATTTTCCACATTCCATTTTACATATGCATATCTTGTATGCTGTTTTGGTTAGGCTTTCGAACATTGTTTCCTTAGAAAAAATTAAAACCCATATCAACGGTTTATCTACTCTGCTTAATCATATGGGCAGCGAATGTTTTTTAAACTTTGCCGGTATACATAGGTCTGTTTCAGTTAATAAATATTGAATAAAATGAGACTTAAACATTGACAATTAGCAAGCTTAACTAAATTGTTTTGGTTGTAATTCTACTTTTTTACACAAATAACTAATACTATAATCACTATATTCCTGTGAGAATTATAGAAAGGAAAAAGGTACTCATGAAACACCTTAGGGCATTCAAATTCACAAGAAGTCATGCACAAGTCGACAAGAGATGTGTTTTTTAAAACTTAAACATGCTCCACATGCTTTCTAAGTCTTTAACTCTTGATCTAAGTGCTTGTTAATAAAAACAAAAACAAAAATATGAGCCTATGTTAGTACCCTCTTTTCAAATGTAATTCAGCCTTTCTTTGTTTTTGATACCTGTTTTAACTTTACCAAAGTTAATTAGCAGCACCCCCATGGCTAATTCTTTCTTAAACTAAGGTTAAATTTTTGATGAGGTAAGTTAGGTAAGCAGTGTGAAATATTATGACTAATCTGCAGCGTTCTTGCTAATTAATAAGCAATATGAAATATTATGACTAATGTTATTTTATCGTTTTATCTCATCTCTTATGTTTTCAGCTAGATTATTTTAGTTTTATATATTTTGTCAGATAGCTTATATCTAATTTATTTTTATCCCGTAATAAATTATTAGAAAATTGGGGTATTCATATCCAAAACTCAGAAAATGTCGTCTTCTACATAAGTGGAGATCCATAAGGATGATTAATTGGAACTGCAGGTTACTAAGGATAGATTACAATTATTATGATCTTATATGAAATCTAGAGAACACAATTGAATTCCACTAAAGGCATACGTGGAAACAAGTAAAAAGTCACAATTATTTGTAGTCTGTAGACAAAATACGATTTTAGACTAATACTGACATTTTTTATCATGTACCCAACTTTAAATCATAAATAAAATAAACTCTTGAACATCTAATCACCAAATCAATTAGTACTTAATGTTGATTCTAACATACTTTCTTATAGTAACTATAAATATAAATTTTTATTTTCAAGTATTATTTTCGTGGAGGTGTTAAGTGTGTGTGTGTGTGTATATATATATATATACACGTAATATTGTGACCTATTAGTCTTTAGCTTCGTGTGTTTTTATGTGTAGTTAATAAGCCCCATTTTTTAAAGTAAGAAAATGTATGAGACATAGCATTTCAAACACTTATGCTCTATTGGAATTGTATGAATGGTCTGGTAGATGATTAAAGAAGATGGGTATCATATGCAGATCCTCAAAGGAATATTTGGTTATTAAAATTGTATTAGAGTAGATATTTTGAAGTATCTACTACAAGAATAAATATATTTGCTCCAAGAGTCCAATCTATACTCACTGTATCAACCAATAATTATAAGTATAAGAGCAAATTACCTGGTCATTCCCATCCGGCCATCCCCTCACCTAGCCAGTGAGCTGCCACACCCCTGGTCAAATCACTGCACTGCCTTCATCTCCACATGCCACCTAACAACCTTCTTCCACGACCAGTTATTATCACACGTCGGACAATCGACCCCCTTGATGTCGAAACACTCCCTCGTGCAACATATGCTTGGTGATTACATCAAGTGATTGGGCTGGAATAACATCTTTAGGGATACAAAATGCAGTCTCATGTTTAATTGATATTTAAGTGATTGGGCTGGAATAACATCTTTAGGGATACAAAATGCAGTCTCCAAACTTCACTGCCAATTTTCTAGAATTTTTACTATCACTTTTACTATCACTTATACTATCGTTTATACCATCTTTAGTTATTTATCACTTATTCTATCATCGATTCATCGTTGCATTGTTATTTTAATTTTCATCAAGACCAACCTCCTGCACTTTGCTTCTTCCTCACTTAAGTACACTAAAGTTATCTAGAATGCGCAATCCAAAACTCATATAAAAATGTGTCCCCTTCTCAGTGCTTCCCTCTATAATTGTACCACGAGCCTATGTTTAATTTGTTACTCTGTTTCTCTCACCCCTTCGGATTCATCTTTCCTCCATTTCACGCAGCCTTCTAATTTCCGTTCCAAACGTGAAAGAAACCAATGTCCTCTATGCCCAAGTTATATTTTGGTTTTTATGTTTTTCTACTTCACTTTAAGTTATTCATACCAAAACCGAGATATTTTTTCCCCTACACTCGCCTTGGGCATTACCACGAACGCGCAACGCGCGTTGTTAAACTAGTTATAATGATAATGATGACAATTGTTTGATGGTATTTAGGATTGTTCAGTACAACTGTCTCAGAGCTATCCCTTTCAAATTGAGTTCAGTACATTTCTAACATGCCATTTGTGGATAAATTAACAGAAATCAGAAGCGGGCATTGATTTGCGTGAAAAGGGACTTGGAGTCCTTTGTTGGTGTTCCCTTGCCTGCAGGTTTAGACCCCAAATCAAATGCCTTGAATTTCAGCTCCTCAAACTGCAGTGTCTGAATGCAGACTTCAGCAACATTGACCTTAGTAATAGTTCGATTATTTGTCTGAAGAAGCTCATCATCCTTGCCAACAAGCAAATCCTGTACACCTCCTTCTCTGTCTTGCAAGCCCCCGGCTCTAATAATGGTATGTGGGATTCCATATACAAGATTTGCACAGGCCCCTTTATTGTACAAAGTGGCTGGACTTGTGCATAAACCGCAATCTTTGTTTTTTTATTAATGATGTCAAAGTAATCATCCTCATGAATAATATTTGGTTTTCCCATTTTCGGGTTGAAAGGTTAGCTTGGAAGTGTTAATTCTTTCATAGAGAGCCATTCTCCTTTAATGAAGCAAGTTTGTGGAATTTCTAGGATGGTGTCATCACCAAAAGGCGAGCTGCCTCCAAGTTAAATAGCTGCTCATCAAGTCCAGTGACTGATTCTTGTTTAATATTCTTTTTTTTTTTTGGCGGGGTATACCCCTTTAATAATGTATAGTGTAGTATGTACATTTACATTTATGTGAGAATTTGAGATATAAATAAAAATGTTTGAAATTTCGGTATTATTATTAGTATTAAATTATATATATATATATTCTAATCATTGTATCAGCGTATGTGTTTTCAAAATACTAGCGTGTCATTGAGTTTTATGATACCGTAGTATCATTGAATTTTGTTGTGATACTCCGTAAATTTAATAAAAAGAATTTAATACTAACTAAGATGTGGCATCTGTTAATTGTATTTGAAGATATTTTTCATTGCTTATGTTTCGGGACGAAACATCTTTTAAGGAGGGTAGAATGTGACACCCCGAAAAAAAAAATGTATATATATAAATTATATCAGTCAGATAAAATGTTACGAAAGTGACATTTTAATAATTAAGTGAATCAGATAAAATTTTAACATCATTGACATTGTTAATAAGATAAAAAAAAAAGTTTCAATGATAAAAGAGACATTTTAACAATTTTAATGAGATAACGTATAACGTGTATAATCATACCCTAAATGTCACACACACAAAAAAAAACAAAGATGTAAAAGGAGTTGACCTTCGTACAAAGTACCATACTTAATAATACAATTGTAATAATAATATATGCTAGGATGATATGATACCATGTATCCATACATACATACGACATAAGAATAATAATTAGGAGACAAATGCATCTCACATACACATGGGTACCAACTAGTTCACATTGACATACCCTATGTATGTTCAGAAACCACATATACATGTCCCTTTTCTCATCATATGATAATTCACACCAAAACAAATGCACCAGGGACACATGCAAGGCCAACCAAACCGACGTACATATATATACACACGCATAGTAGATGTATTCGTTCGCTCGAACAAAGACGGTGAGAGGGGGAAAGAGAAGGACGATCGAGACTGAAGTGTGGACTGAAAGCTTTGCCGAAGTGAAGGAGCGTACGTACTCGCCGGAAGGGAAGACGACCGACGTCGGAGAAGGCCAGGCCGTTGCCGCTACCGTTGCCGCCGCTTCCCAGAGATACCGTTGCCTCTCGCCGGAGTAGAAGGGTCGGCCGGGTTGACAGTGGAGCTATGGACCGCACCTCCACTGCATCGCCATAGGAGCGGATGTCTGCTGGAGCGGGAGAAGTGCCGCCAGAAGCCGCATCGGTCATCCCTTCTATTTTCAATTCGCCGAAGAAGCTAGCTAAGACGAGTGAGTCTTCTCTGCTCTTTTTCCGCATTACGTAAAACAGTACTACTTTTAGAGCCCGTTTGGTAGCACCAAAATCGGCTGTTTTGGCTGATTCTGCTGAAATTTATGATATTCTGGCTGGAGTGGCTGTTTTGACTGATTCTGCTGATTTAAGAAAAAAATATTTTAAAAATATATTTTATTAATAAATTAAAGAAAAAATTATATGTAATAATAGCTAAAATGGTCCTCTACAGTAACTTCAGCCAATACAGCCAGAAAAGTAACTCCAACCTTACTTTTTCGGCTTATTACACAATTCAGCGCGCGAAAGTAAAAGTTACGTGTTTGGTGAAAAAGCTGGCTGATAAGCCTGATAAGCCGAAAACAGAGTTCTCCAAACGGGCTCTTAATTGGAAGAGGGCATGGATCGAATAGCAATAATAAATAGATATTTAGTTATTTACATAAATATAAAATCAAGTTTGGGTTGAGAGATTTGATAATGAAATTGATAGGGTATTCATTTTCTTTTGTTATTGTGAGAGAAGATCGATGATTACATCCTACTAGTATAAAATTCCAATAAATAAACAAACGGGCTGAGTTATTCATGCAGAAGGAAACAAGCAGACATGTTCTAATTGAGCCAAATAATTATAAATGAGTTAAACTAAAGTATACGCGGGTCAATTAAACTCGATTGATAAATAAATTATTAATTCAATAACTTTAATATTCTAGAAGGTGATTTTGGAGATGATACCGGTAGAAGCTTCAAATAAGATTTATCGTGAATGGAGGTAAGTTTCTCTGCCGATCCAAAATGATTTCCTTGTATTATATGCTTATTATGCATTACATGATTAAGTGTGAATTTTGAATTATGTGTATGTGATTTTGAGGAGATAATATTAGATCTATGGTATTTGAGAAGTGCAAACTAAGTACTTTTGGGTATTAAATATTTTAAATACCTTTGAGACTATTTAGAGAGAGTGAGAAATATTTTTTGGAAGTATATTTTTAGTCAAGATAAAATTTATGTTTTCATAAGAAGTGAGCACCCGGGAGAAATCCGTGGTGTCGGTTTTCCACATCCGGATAAATGTGGAGGGTGATTAAGGCTACTACTACTAAGAAGTACAGTTTGAGTTTGAAGTGACGTTTGGATCTATGATCCCTTTTAAGAAGAAGATATAGTAGTAGTCCCTAATCATTCAAGAATTTTAAAGGTGGGGTAGTTGGTAGACTGAGTCCCGATTACTCGTGACGACTTACTACTCGGAGGGCTTGGAATCCCTTTTAGGGGGTGTGCACACTTAAGGTAGTCGTTTCGTTTCCATTAGCAGTTGTGGTACCGGCAAAAGTCCCGGGGTGGCCGTACATAACAACGTAACCACCGGGCTCAACCAGAGTGTTGAGCACCGCCCTTCTAAATTACTAGGAAGATAGAGAAGAAGTGATTTTTGAGAAGTTCTAAGAGAAGAGTTACTATAGTATTTTCGAAGAAAAGTTGAGGACTTTAGTAAAGAAGTGATTTTGAAAAAAAACAAAGAGAAAAGAATTTTGGTGGAGTGTGTCATTTTTATATAGTATTATATGAAAAACTATTTTTCTCCAAACCTGATTATTTTACGGGGTTGGGTAGTACTTACTTAGCTCTAAAGCTAATTTTTGTTTCCTTTTCCCTGTTTTGTTTTCTGCACTTTATTTGTGCAAGTGATGATGCTTATGTGGACTGATGATTGTATGAACACGAGAGCGGTTTAGAAATGCCTTAGTCAAACCTAGTCAAGAATTATAATTCAATTATGTTGAACACTTGTTTTACTCTATTTTGTTTTGGGATAGCCTGTGCATTCGGTTAGGAGATGACCGGATGTGGCGGTAACACCCATTTCCCAATTAATGTTATTTCCGCTGCAAAACTTTTTATCTATTTTGAAATAATAAATCAAGTTTATTATCAATAAATCTATTATTTCAAGTATTATTTTGGGAGGGAAAATGGGGGTGTTACATTTGTGATACCATAGTGTCATTGAGTGTTGTGATACTGTAACATCATTGAGTATAGTGATACCGTAGTGTCATAATTTGGTGAGGCTATAGTGTCATAATTTAGTGACACTCTTAGTGACACTTTATTAGAGTCACTATTCCCCACTTTCATTAACACTTTTTTAGTGTCACATAAACTTTCAGTGACACTAATTTGGTGTCACTGTAAGGCATTTTTCTAATAGTGATTATTATGCTGAAATAAACATTATTTGTTGTTAAAGATAGTATGTGCGTATAAATTCCCACTCCAAATATTCTGTATGTATAAATTCATCATTTTTATGTAAATATGTTTTCAGCTCTCTCTCTTTGTTACTCGAATTTTCGCCTCATAAAAATTCCTTATTTTTTAATGGAATTTATGTAGGTCTAAAAATTCCACCCACTCCCACGATTAAAATTTACTTTATAAAAATATTGGGGGTGTGTAACTGAGTATAAATATGTCTGCTCCCATGATTTTATATGTATAAATTCATAATTTTCCTGTAGCTATGTTTTCACCCCTATCTGTTACTCATATATTTTCCTCATAAAAATTCCTTATTTTTGTATGGAATTTACATAGGTCTGAAAATTCCTCCCACTTCCAAGATTAGAAAATTTACATGACGAGTATTTGGCTTTGAAATTCAATATAAGAACCCGGCTGTAGAACGTTTAAGCTTCCATTTACATGACGAACAGAATGTAGTCTTTCGTGACGATCTAGTGGTTAAGACCTCTTCTGTAAAGGATAGTATGTTCACAGCATGGATGAAAGCTAATAAGAAGTACCCGGAGGCACGATTGTTAACCTATGCTGAGTTTCCTCAGAAGTTTGTCTGAAAAAATTAGAGAATGGGCTCCTAGAAAACAAGCTTTTGCAATCAACCGAGTTTATTATGTGCATCCCGGTAGTGGTGAATCCTATTACATTAGGTGCCTTTTGAATCATATTCGGGGTGCAACATGTCATAAGGATTTGAGGACGTTCAACGGCGTAACTTATGATTCTTTTCGTGATGCGTGTTATGCTTTGGGATTGCTTGACAATGATAGAGAATTCATCGATGCTTTCAAAGAGGCGAGCAATTTCTCACCTGCCTATTGTTTGAGGATTCTATTTGTAATTTTGTTATGGACAGAGTCAATGGCTCGACCAGAGTATGTTTGGCAAAAATGTTGGCTGTTCATGGATGATGATATACAATACACGCGTCGGCGAATATTGCAGCATTCAGGTAATGAGTACTATGCTTCTTTACCATATCAATATATCTTACATTATACATTTTGATTTTTGTTTGATCCTTTATATTGGTTGTGACTATTGTGATTATTTTAATTTTTGTTTGATCCTTTATATTGGTTGTGACTATTGTGATTATTTCAATTTTTGTTATTTATATGAAATTCTTCTCTGCGGACTTGGTGCTGTCAGATGAAGAATTACAAAGTTTGCTTTGGAAGAAATCGAAAGAGTGTTGCAAAGTCGTGGAAAAAGTTTGCGCGATTACCCGCCAATGCCTACTGTTGTACTTGATTCGCTTTTGAGCTCTAATGACAGACCGATATATGAAGAAATGCGTTATGATCGAATTGCATTAACAGAAGAACATTCTATGTTACTCAAATCTCGTATAGGTGAGCAACTTCGGGTATATGAGACAGTAATGCAGTCTGTTGATGAAGAAGTTGGTGGTATTTTTTTTGTTTATGGGTACGGAGGTTCGGGGAAGACATTTGTATGGAAGACCCTGTCTGCTACCCTCAGGTCTAATAGTGAGATTGTTCTTAATGTTGCATCCAGTGGTATCACGTCTCTTCTTTTACCAGGTGGATGTACAACACACTCACGATTTGAAATACCGATAAGTTTGAATGAAGACTCCACATGTAATATTAAACAGGGGAGTCCGCTTGCCAAACTCATTGTACGTTGTAAGCTTATAATATGGGATGAGACTCCAATGCTACATAAGTTTTGTTTTGAGGCGTTAGATCGCAGTATGAGGGACATCATGCAATTTCATAAACCCAAAAGTGGGACGCTTCCTTATGGGGGGAAAACAATGGTGTTTGGGGGGATTTTCGCCAAGTGCTGCCAGTGATACCTCATGGTAGCAGACAAGATGTTGTGAATGCCACGATTAATTCATCATATCCGTGGTCTGAATGTACGGTCCTCCGCTTGACAAAAAATATGCGCTTGCAGAACATGACTGATCCCTTAGATTCTTACGATTTGAAGGTGTTTTCGGATTGGATTGCCAATATTGGTGACGGTGTTGCCAGTGAAAGTAATGATGGTCATGTTCGTGTCACTATTCCAGATGATCTTTTGATACACATAGATGGAGATCTTATAGCTGCAATCGTTGAAAGCATATTTCCAGAGTATGTTCAATCAGCGTAAGATGTAAGTTGTTTACGTGACCATGCCATTTTGGCGCCCACTCTCGCTGTTGTAGAAGCTGTTAATGAATATATGACATCTCTTAATGTTGGTGAGCTTTCTAGAACCTACCTTAGTTCAGACAGTGTTTCTAAGGTAGATTCTACAACCGATCTAATGACAGAGTTGCACACACCAGAGTTAAATAGTACTCCGTATCAAATTATCCGGGGTACCAAATCATGAGTTAACATTAAAGGTGGGCACTCCTGTGATTAGGGGTGGGATCGGGATGATCCCGATCCCGATTGCCCAAATCCTGATCCCGTCCCGATCCCGATTCAAACTAAAAGAGGATCCCGTATCCCGTCCCGATTAAGTCGGGATCCTGACATTAAAATCCCGATTAAGTCGGGATCCCGATCGGGAATCCCGCTTAATCCCGCTAAATCCCGACAATGAAGTATCAAACATAAAATTATGTAATCTCTTTAGTTAAACACTAACTTTGATATTTAGTGGTTTCAATATTATTCTTTGTTTACTGTTATACCATATTTATCATCATCTACTTATAAAAATTATTGTAATAATTATCATCTCAAACTCACACTAGTATATACTTTTAGAATAATTTTTATGTGTAACTTCAATTAATTAATAGTATAATTTTTGAATAAGCTATCAAGGCTCAGTGAAACTTACTTCAAACAATATATAAAAAACACTAAAAGAAGGATATGTAACGTATATTATTTAAAATTCAAAACTAAGTAGACTCGTTGAGAAACTTTGTGACAAATGAATATAATGTGTAAATACATATGATGATTATCTACTAAAGAAAGAAATCTTAGTCTCGATCATAATTTTTTAAAGAGTTCATCAGAACCGCAAAATTTGTAATATTGTATGTTGTGATTTAGATTGTTGGGATCAAGAATAATCTCTACTTAGTCCAAATATTCATTTTCGGACAAATGCCGAATAGTTTTAGAAGTTTGATATTGTAAGATACTCGTAGTAAAAGATTAATCTATGTAAGGAATAAGTAATTAAAAAAGATGTGCAAATATTTAGATACATATTCATTTTTTATATATTCATATATAATTATATACGTGTGTGTGTGTGTGTGTGTGTGTGTATAATGTCAGGATGTCGGGATTTTCCCGATCCCGACTTTTTAAAAAAAAATCCCGGTCCCGTCCCGACTTAGTCAGGATCGGGAAAAATTCCCGACTAGTCGGGATCAGGATTTTCGGGATCGGGATTGTCGGGATCGGGATCGGGAGTCGGGAGTCGGGAGTTTTTTCCCAGCCATACCTGTGATGCTGTTGCGAAATATAGATCATGCGATGGGGTTGTGCAACGGACTCGGCTTATTCTTACAAGGCTTGGGGATCATGTTTTAGAGGGAAAAATTTTAAGCGGTGTGAGTGCCGGACAAAAGGTATTAATTCTGAGTTTGTCCTTGACCCCCTCTGATGCTATTGCGAAATATAGATCATGCTAATTACATTTTTCATAATGCGAGTTACACCACAATATAATCCTATTTACACAACAAAATAAGGTTCTGCTATTCAAAGAAAAAGAATTTTTTTAAAAAACATTTTTATAGAAATAATAATATAAAATTATTTTGTTTATAAAAAAAGTTAAAAACTATACTTTAAGTGTTATAACAAGTTGAGAGAGTAAAACAAGTTACATATTCCAGCGCGTGAGTCACATTTGAATACACTGGATTTACATCACCAACAAAATTGAGACAAATGCAAGGGCAGTTACTGTTCACACACATTTTTTAATTAAAGTTTAATCTAAACGACATCATTTTATACATGGGAGTAGGATGCTCACTCCCACGGTATAACAACTCTTAATACTCTGTATTAGTTTTGACAAGTTACTTTATGCTCAATTTGGATAAAGTGAACTTAAGTAAACTTAGTGCAATAAAGTAAACCTAAGTTTTAATAAAAATTAGGTTAACCTAAGTGAACATAGGCTCATGTGTAAAATAGTGTTTGGAAATAAATAAGGTGAACCTAGATTAATGTAATAAATATTGTTTGGATGAAAGTACTTTAACTTATTTTATGTTGAACGAGAACCTAACCTTTAAAACCCTCGATTTCGGAGATTCTTCAATTTGAGGTGTTTCCAAGTTTTCGAGAGCTATGTGAGATTAAGTCATAATCTAGGTTCTTGTTGCAAAAGAACAAACAAACAAAGTTAACTAAAAATTGAACCTGTACCGAGTTGATTAATCCCTGAACAAACAAGCCATTAATTCATAGATGAGCTGAAGTGAATAGATTCTACAAAAAGAGAAACAAATTCTCCGTAAAATGGAAGCTAGAGAATGAGGAAACTGCACGTTCTATACATTTCCCCAATTTCTCTCTCTCTCTCTCCCCCCAGAGCCTAGCGGGAGCGAAAACGGAGCAACACTACTTGGCACCCTGCGTTCCATAATCGCATGCATTCCGCTCTATCTCTCTCATGCAAATTCGAACCCACAAAAGCAAAAATACTCCAAATTTCGCCTTCTATGATGATCATCTGATGAGCTACTACGTGTTTATATCTGTGTGCAAGCCTGAATGTGTATGTGATCAGGTGAGAACTGCGGCACCGTAAATGCGTTGAAGGTGCATTTCGATTTCTGTTGTGCGAAGGTGAGAACTGCGTGATTTTGGATCGATGGAGGCAATCGAGGAGCTGAAGCAGCTTGCCGATTTGATGCGCCAAGCTGGGGCTCTGCTCGCAAATGAAGACGTTGATGCTGTCATGTCCGCGTCTTCAAGGCGACCTTCTACGTTCCTTAACGTAGTTGCTCTCGGCTGCATGGTAATGTAATTAATAACGGTTTCCATGCGTAGAAATAGAATCTCCCCGGTTATATTAATGAGTGTTCAGATTTAAAGTTTTGGTCATTGTAAAGGACTTCTGTGTGCACATATGTGTTCCATGTGTGCTTCTCAGTTATATGAATTAAATAGTATGCGCTGTACATCCTAACTCCTAAGTTGATTGGAGGACGTTCAATTTCTGGTTTGGTGGATAAGTAGGCTCCGCCGGGCTTGGAAATGCAAATGACATTGTATGGTAGCACGTTGTGATGGATGAATACTGCAAATTTTCTAATGTCAAATATGAATGGCAATGCCTTCTCAAATACTCTGACGCGGCTAATTAAATTTAATGTGAACAACACACAGCATTTAGCCATATGAATCAAATTCAGAATGTTCGTTATGGGAAGTGTGGGCTACTCCGTATTAAATTGCGGTTGCATATGTGATTTAACAGTGTTAAGAAGATATGTATTTCTTCTAGTATCCCTATTTAGTCAACAAAGTAAATAGAATTAGTTAGTGTCCCACATTTGTACATCTTTAGGAGACTGTGTGGTGTCTGGTGATTTGATTTTGATATTTATCACTCCTCAGGGTGCTGGTAAATCGGCGGTACTGAACAGCTTAATTGGACATCCAGTTTTGGTGAGATGTTCTCAGCCTCTGTGTTAGGTTTAATCTTTTTTTATATACATTGTCAATCACTTAAAGTATTTTCATGTTTATATTAACTTCAACAGCCAACTGGAGAAGGTGGTGCTACTCGTGCTTCAGTATGCGTGGAGTTGAATAGGGATAGTTCCTTAAGCAGTAAAGTAATTGTTTTGCAGATTGATAGCAAATCCCAAGAAGTTTCTGCAAGTGAGCACACTAGCTTTTTCTTTAATGAGAGCCTTCTGTAATTGTCACGATCAAGAGTGTGTTCTATATGCCTATTTTTTCACCAAAGGCATGTCACAATCTGATTATGCTTGTTCCATCTTTGTCCCGAAATAGGTTCTCTTCGCCGCTCTTTGCAGGAGAGGTTTGGAAAAGTGTCGAGCAAGAGCCGTGATGAGATATATTTGAAGCTTAAAAGTAGTACATGTATGTCTAAACTTGAACTCCAATAATTGTTAATCCATAGCAAACTAAAAAGAGACTACCTGTTATCTTTCAATTTTTATTCCTGGGGTGATGATGATGATGATGTCTCACCAAGTCACCACTAAATGTATTTTAACAATAAAAAGTTGCTTTGGGGAGTCTGTCCCCCCCATATAAGGTTTAAACTCAGATTGATTACAATGTCAAGTTTCTCTGTAGTGGACTATTTGAATAAGCAGCTTAATGAAGTTTTAGCATTTAAAACTGGGCATTACATGTGAATCATGATTAGCGATACTGATGTATATCTACGTGAAGTCGTGAGTAGGTTTCTTGCATCTGAAGTTTATATCTACTTCAATATGTGCTTTATAGAATCTGGAAATTTGTTTTGGTCCGACAGTGTTTTATTTATTTCCCATTTGTTCACCTTATCCTGAGTTTTTTTGCTTTTATTCCATTGATGTGGTAATATTTGTGGTTTACAGCTCCACCATTAAAATTAATTGATCTACCAGGAGTGGAAAAAGGACGCCTTGATAGTTCATCAGTGAGTTGCTTTTCTCATAATATCAATTTAGATTTTTGAAGCCTTCAGAACTTGAGATTTTGCACGTGATTTTTCTTTATAGAGTCAGTATGTTGAGCATAGTGATGCAATATTACTTGTGGTAGTACCTGCATCTCTTGCATCAGAAGTTTCCACATATAAAGCACTTAGAATTGCAAAGGAGAATGATGGAGAATGTAAGTTTGACTATCTTGCATACCAGTTTTCTGACTTAAATTAAAAACATAATACAATGACATTTCTGTTTATTGTCCTCTTTCTATACAAATCACGAAAAGCCTGTATAACTTCCATGCTTCAGCTACAAGAACTATTGGTGTTATCAGTAAGATAGATCAAGCTGCTTCAGATCCAAAGATTCTTGCAGAAGTTCAGGCTCTTTTGCTTAATCAAGGGCCACCCAGCACATCTGATATTCCATGGGTTGCTTTGATTGGTCAGTCTGTCTCAATAGCTTCATCCCAATCAGGAAATGTTGGGGACGATTCTTTAGAAACAGCTTGGCGAGCTGAGAGTGAAAGCCTTAAATCTATCTTGCCTGGGGCTCCTCAAAGCAAGCTTGGTAGATTAGCCTTAGTAGAAAATCTTGCTCGACAGATCCG